AATTAAATCAAGTTTTTACTGTCACGAAATCATGTGTTACTTCTAAGAGGATTTTAATTTTTGTTTAGAGATTTCAGCTTCAGTCAGTCCTCTATCTTAAGGTTACCTCCAACTGTAAAGTCTGTTGCTGTTTGTTTGAAACTTAAATCCTGTGGCTTATTCTCTTTGAAAGTCTCCTGGATCTCTCACTCTGTCAACTTTAAAAATAAAAGTTACTGGTCCTTAACCAGGTCGTCTGGGAGCTTATGGCTTAGCGATAATGTCACTGGGTTTGTTGTCCAAAACCAGTATTTTGTGGTTTTGAAGATTTGGATTTAAGAACAATTAACTCAGTGTCAAAATTTGCACTTGATAACAAGCTGTGTATCTAAACTCAGGAAGAAGTAACATGACACAAGACAACATTACAAAACTCGCAGTTTGGGCAATTTAATAACAAATAACCCAAACAGGTTTCTTGACACAGTACGTAAACAGTCCAACCAGGAAAGGGGTTGTACTGGACCTGGTTTTGGGAAATGAGCCCAGCGAGGTGAGTGAAGTTTCAGTGGGGGAGCATTTCAGGAGTAGTGACCATACTACCATCAGTTTTAAGATACTCATAGATAGGGATAACAGCAGTCCTTGGGTGAAGGTGTTAAATTGGGGGAAGGTGACCTACAACAATATTATTCAGGAACTGGAGAACGTTGATTGGAGTTGGCTGTTTGAGGATAAATCCACATTGGACAGGTGCGGAAGTTGATAAGTGTTCAGGAGCGGCACATTTCTGCAAGTATAAAGAATAGGTATGGCATATTACTAGAATCTTGGATTATCAGGGATGTTATGACCTCATTCAAAAAGAAAAAGGAAGCACACATAAGGTGTTGAAGTATATAAGGAAAGTAGGAAAGAACTTAAACAAGGAATTAGAAAGGCTAAAAAGGGATCATGAAAAGTAGTTAGCAAACAGGATTAAGTAGAGGTTGCAGACATGCTCACCATTGGATTTGGTTTGGTTGCAAACGGTTTGTCACCCTGCTAGGTAACATCATCAGTGCGCTTGTTATTTATATGCCTCAGTTTGTTGGGGTGTTTGGTAGCATTTCCGGTCTGTTTCTCAGTATGACAGTATGATGCATGACAGTAATGCTCAATAGAGCCCAATACATTGAGAAAACTAACGCATTACTAGCAGATACGGACACCTACCAACAGATGACGATGGACCCTGAAGAAATTACATAACTCAGGAGACATCGGTAAGACAAACTACCAAAAAATGAAGCTAGAGGCATCCAACACACCCTGCTTCTATGGACTCCCTAAGGTACACAAACTGGGGGTCCCCCACAGACCCATTGTCTCACTACCAGGTACACCAACGTATACACTTGCCAAAGAACAAAGCAGAAATTGAAATACTTCGTTGACAACTTTACCCACTCCATCCACTCATCCCAAGAATTTCTCAACATCATCAGGGACAGCAGGGTCGAAGAGAACGAGATGATGATATCCTTTGACAAAACAGCATTATTTGCATCCATAAGCATAGACGTAAACAAAGAGACAATTGCCATACTACTGGATGAATCAAGTAGGCAGGCACCCCAGGCCACCAGCAATGTCAATAAAGGCACCACCATGAAACAATCCACTTCACCTTCAATGATGGCATATACAAACAAATCAATGGATCCCCAATATCAGGACTGATTGCAGAAGCAGTAATGCAAGGGTTAGAACAGACAGCGCTCCCAAATATGCAACCCAAACTTTGGCTCCAAAATGTAGATGACACCTTCATGATTATCAAACGCACAAAATTATAAGAAACCCACCAACGCGTAAACAAAATCCTCACTGGGATAAAATTCACAAAAGAAGAAGAGAACAACAACTAACTACCCTTCCTGGACATAGTGGTAAAATGCAAAAACAATGGAGAGCTCCAGACTAGCGTATATAGAAAGAGCACACATATGGACCAGATACTCAATTACACTAGCAACCACCCAAACGCCCACAAACGAAGCTGCATCAGGACGTTATTTAAATGAGCCACAACACATTGCAGCAACCCGGAACTACACAAAGCAGAACAGGAGCACCAATATGGAGTCTTCAAAAGGAATGAATACCCAAAAAGCACAATCTGCCATTACCTCCAAGACAGACCACAACAGTAAGCACAACACAATCAGACTCGCTAATCACCCTACTGTACATCAAGCACATTTCAGAGATGGTCACAAAACAACCCAGACTCCTAGGTATCAGGGTAGCCCACAAAGCAACAACCACCCCATGGCAGCTACTGACGAACGTAAAGGATCCCATACCCAAAACCAGTGTAATATACAAAATACCATGCAAGGACTGTGAGAAACACTACATGAGCCAAACCAGAAGAAAACTGACAATATGGATCCACAAACACCAACCAGCCACCAAGAGACACGACCAATTCTCACCTGTTTCACTACACACGGACAATGAGAGACACGAATTCGACTGGGACAACACATCCATAATTGCACAAGGCAAACAGAGACACGCCAGGCACTTCCTGGAGGTCTGATATTCTTTTCGGAATTCCAACAAATACATTGAATTAAACCCTGTGTGCAAATCACTGAGAAGCAGAACCGGAAGTGGTGCCAAACATCCTAACAAACTGAGGCATATAAGTAACAAGTGGGACAGAACACCAACGCTTCACAGGAGGCACACTGCCAATGTTACCTGGAAGGGTGATGAAACATTTGCAAACAAACCCACCAGCTTGGCGAGCATGTCTACAATCTCATCCACAACCCGAGCTACAAATCTTCTCGAAAACTTTAAAGGGTTAAGCAGAATCCTAAGACTTTTTATACGTGCATAAAGAACAAAAGGGTCGCCAGAGAAAGGGTTGGCCCTCTTAAGGAAAAAGGAGGGAGTTTATATGTGGAGCCAGAAGAGGTAAATGAGGTCCTAAACTAATACTTTGTGTCGGTATTCATCAAACAGACGGAATTGGTGGAGGATAATCTCAGGGAAGCGAGTGTTGAATTTCTCAACCAAGTTGCTATTAAAAAGAAAGAGCATTGACAGCCATCTTTGTATCCTCTTTGGTCACAGGTGAGGTCCTAGAGTACTGGAAAACAGCCAATGTTGTCCCATTGTTTGAGAAGGGTAACAGGGATAATCCCGGATATTACCGGCCTATAAGTCTCACGTTGGTGCTAGGGAAATTATTAGAAAAGATTCACGGGGACAAGATCTGCATGCATTTCGAAGCAAATGGCCTTATTAGCAATAGACAACTTCCTTTTGTATGGGAGAGGTTGTGCCTCATTAACTTGATTGAGTTTTTGAGGAGGTGATGAAGATGATTGATGACAAGATTCCTCATGGCAGACTGCACAAAAGGTGAAGAAACATGATATGAGGGGCGAGCAGCCAAGATGGATACATAACTGGCTTAATTGTAGGAGACAGAGGGTAACGGTGGAAGGATGCTTTTTGGAATGGAGGGTTGTGACTAGTGGTATTCCACACGGATCAGTGCTGGGACCTCTGCTGTTGTGATCTACTTAAATGATTTGGAGGAAAATATATCTGGTCAAATTAGTAAGTTTGCGGATGGCACAAAGATTGGTGGAGTTGCAGATAGTGAGAAGGATAGTCAGAGAATACAGCAGGATATAGATCAGCTGGAGACATGGGCAGAAATTGGCAATTGGAATTTAATCTGGACGAATGTGAGGTGATGAATTTTAGAAGGTCACGTACAAGTGGAAATTAACCGTGAATGGCAGAACCCTTAGGAGTATCGTTATGCAGGTCCACAGATCACTGAAAGTGGCAGTACAGGTACATAAGGTAGTAAAAAAGACCTGTGGTATGCTTGCCTTCATTGGGAGGGGCACTGAGTATAAGGATAGGCGAGTTATAGTGCAGCTTTATAGAACTTAGTTAGGCCACACATGGAATATTGTATACACTTCTAGTCACTACCCTACCAGAAGGATGTGGATGCTTTGGAGAGGGTCCAGAAAAGGTCTTTCAGGATGTTGCCTGGTATGATGAATTTTAAGTATGAAGACAGGCTGGATAGGCTGGAGAAGGGTCTGAAGAAGGGTCTAGGCCCGAAACGTCAAACTTCCTGCTGCTCTGATGCTGCTTCGCCTGCTGTGTTCATCCAGCTCTACACCTTGTTATCTCTGGATAGGCTGGATTTGTTTTCACTGGAACGCAGAAGGTCGAGGGTGATCTGACAGATGTTTATAAGTTTGTGAATGACATGGATGGAGTGAAAAGTATGAGGCTTTTTCCTAGGGTGGAGGGGTCAATTACTAGGGGACACAGGTTCAAGGTGTGAAAGGAGAAGTTTAAAAGTGACATGCGAGGCAGGTTTTTCATACAAGGGGTGGTGAGTGCCTAGAACGTGTTGCCAGAGGAGGTGGTGTAAGCAGACACAATAGCAGCAGTCAAGAAACACCTGGACGAATAAATGAATAGAAAGCAAATAGAGGGATACGGATCCTGTAAGTGAAGACAGTTTTTGAATGGAAAAGCAAAGTGTGTCGGTGCAGGCTTGCAGGGCCAAAGGGGCTGTACCTGTGTTGTATTGTTCTCTGTTCTAGATACTCCACAAATGTGGGAGGATTTACTTAGTTTGAAAGTTTACAAGGAAGTTTACATGATCATTGCATTAACATCAATCAGAAGCTATTTCTATCTTCTGTGCGTGGGCAGTTCATCTAATCCACTGAGACACTAAGTTTACATGTGATTGCAGGGTTGAATTCTACTCTCACTGTTTGAGTGGTGTATTCATCTTCAACAAATTCACATTCTCCTCCTTTTTGGTGGATATGAAAAATTCAAAACTTGTATTTATGTACAAATTGTTTCATTTATTACTTGTACCTCCTCTCCCAATCTCCGTCCCATAACGTCAAAACAGGTCGCAAACTACAATTCGTTTAGACGAATGGCGGAATCTTTATCCATCATCCCTCGCGGTGATGCACGTCAACTATCTATCTCACAGGCGAGCGACGCGCGGGCGGAGTGCCTAGAGCATGCGCAGTACAGTAGCTGCGTTTGCTGTCCGGGCGGAAGGAGCGATGGAGCGGGCGGCTCCCTTTGGGAACAGGGTGTGTGGCCGCAAAGGCCGGGGAAGGAGCTCCCGGTGTCGGGTTTGCAGATAGCAGGGGCAGTGAGCTGCAGGGGGGAAGCTGGATTGTCACAGATGGATTTTTATAAACTCCTTTTCCAGAAGGGGAGAATCTGCAAACCGCAACCTCGACAAATGTTTGTCTCTTCCCAATCTCCATCCTGCAAAGACACAGATCGGGTTTATAAATTTAAAAATAATGCAGCCTTTGGAAAGTTTGAACAGTTTGGGGCCTTGAAGAAGGCTCAGCAGTGACCTGACAGAACAGTTTAAAATGATCAATGTTTTGCACGCGGTCAATATGCAGAGAATGTTTCCAAATGAAATTTCTTCACTTAGAGTGATTAAAATGTGGAATTCGGCAAATAGTTCAGACAAAAAGCAGAGATGTGCTCGAAAGGAAACTGGAATAGTCTGAGAAGGAGAAGGTATTAGAAAAATATGTCAGAAAACTGAGATGAGATGAATGAAATAGAAGGGAAAACATAAAAACAGCAGAGTAATTGGACTGAATAACCTGTTTGTTTATTTCACAGTCTTACTATTTCATTTTAAACTCCTTTTTGCAGGGTATTCAAAAGGTTGTACTTACATCCAGAAGGTGAAGCAATGCATCCCATCAAAATCTGACAGTCATTCAGTTCAACAGAATCTGAATATGTTCGGTCTCTGAATGCACAGGGAGAAATGCCTGTCTCTGAGAAAAGATTTTAAACATCAATGTGACTGTAAAAGTACTGAGACACACAGACTCAAGGGATGGTATTCCAGTGAACTGACTGTAGAAACAGCATTACCAGCTACTCAGCCTGAAAATTAATTACACCATCCACAACGGAGAGAGGCCGTCTAATGTGATCTGTCTGTCAGTTTCAGTCAATTGTTGAATCTGGAAACAATCAAGGACACTGACACCATGGAGAAACCGTGGAAATGTGGGGAATGTGGGAAGGGATTCCGTTACCCATCAGGGTTGGAAACTCATCAACGCAGTCACACCGGGGAGAGGCCCTTCAGCTGTTCGGTATGTGGGAAGGGATTCACTCAGTCATCCAGCCTGTACACACACCAGAACGTTCACACTGGGGAGAAGCCATTCTCCTGCTCTGTGTGTGGGCAGGGATTTAATGCTTTATCAACCCTCCGGACTCACGAGCAGGTTCACTCTGATGAGAGACCGTTTAAATGTTCTGACTGTGAGAAGAGTTTTAAAAGCAGAAAGGATATATTGATACATCAACGCAGTCACACTGGGGAGAGACCATTCATCTGCAAAGTGTGTGGGAAAGGATTCACTCAGTCATCCCATCTCCTGACACACCAACTTGTTCACACGGATGAGAGACCCTTTAAATGTTCTGACTGTTTGAAGAGCTTTAAAAGTAAAAAGGATTTACTGAACCACCAACGTGCTCTGACTGGGGAGAGACCATTCATCTGCTCTGTGTGTGGGAAGGGATTCACCAGTTCATCTTACCTTCTGACACATCAATTTGTTCACACTGATGAGAGACCTTTTGGCTGTCCTGACTGTGAGAAGAAATTTAAAAGCAAAAAGCATCTTCTTAAACACCAATACACTCACACAGGGGAGAGGCCATTCCACTGCTCTGTCTGTGGGAAAGGATTCACTCGATTATCCCACCTGCTGAGACACCATCGAGTTCACACTGGGGAGAGGCCATTCTCCTGTGCTGACTGCAAACAGGAATTTGTTGATTTATCTGACCTTGTGATCCATCAGCGAGTTCACAGTGGGGAGAGACCGTACTCCTGCTCCCTGTGTGGCAAGAGGTTCACTCAGTCATCCCATCTCACAACACACCAACTTGTTCATACTGATGAGAGACCTTTTCAATGTTCTGACTGTGAGAAGAGGTTTAAAAGTAAACAGAATCTGCTGAAACATCAACAAATTCACACGGGGCAGGGACCGTTCATGTGCTCTGTGTGTGGGAAAGGATTTACTCAGTCACACAACCTCCTGAGACACCAGCAACTTCACCAGCGAGAGCAGCAAATGGATTCTACTACTATTGCTTCTGTTAACTGCATCCAGGACTGAACCTTGCTGGCTGCCCATTTCCAGTGGGGTTCCACGGTTATGTAGTATATATCAAGGATTTAGACTTCAATGTAAAAGCCATGATGAAAAAATTTGTAGATAGCACAGAAGTTGTGGCCAGTGAATAATAAAGCTGCAGACTGCATGATGTCAATGGACAACTCAAACAGAAGGAACGTGGCCAATGGAATTCATTGTAGAGATAATGAAGCGAGGAGGCCAGGGGGCCAACAGGACAAAGAAAATGCACTATAATAGGTCGGATACTGAGGAGTGTGGAGGAACAGCAAGACCTCGGACTGATGTTCACAGATGCCTGCCTGTCCAGCCACCTTCAGGAAAGGAGATCAGTGAGGCATTTGGTTGAGCCTAGAATATAAAAGCTGGAACTTTAGGAAACACTAGTTAAAGCACAGATGGAGTACTGAGGGCAATTCTGGTCATCACACTAATCAACTAGAAAGTGAGACTAGATTAATTATCATAAACTGAAGTCAATTTATTTATATAATTACAGTGTTGAATGCATCAAGTATAGTTGATAAAGCTAACCTACGAGCAATTGTAACAGTGAAAATATGTGAACTTTTTCAGCAAATTAAAATCTGCTGTGTTTCGATTGTAATAATTAAGAGAAAACATTTTTGCTAACTTCCTATTAAATAAGGTGACTTTTGTATAATGGAAGAAATTGATTGATGAATACCTGATGAATTTTTCTTTGTTTTAATCTGAAATTTATTTTGGTTTAGTTAATAAAGAAACACATGGTAGTGTATTCCAGTCCCACAGAGTGCACATCCAGTTCCATGTGGGAAAACCAGGATAATTAGAGTGACAGCACACAAAGAGGCCCTTTGGCCCAACTTATTCATGCTGATCCAGTTTACTAAACTGAACTAGTCCCATTTTCCTGTGTTTCGTTCATATCCCTCTATAACTTTCCAATCCACATGCTTGTCCAAATGTCTTTTAAATGTTGTAATTGTACCCGCCTCTACCACTACCTCTGACACCTCGTTCCATTTACGCACCACCCTCTTTGTGAACAAGTTACTCCTCAGGATCCTACTAAATCTTTCCCTTTTCACCTTAAACCCACAACCTCTAGTTCTGGACTCCTCTACGCTGGGAAAAAGACCTTGGCTATTCACCTTATCAATGTCCCTCATGATTTTATAAACTTCTGTAGTGTCAGCCCCTCAGCCTCTTGCATCTGAGGGAAATAAGTCCCAGGCAGTACAGCCTCTCTTTTTCACTCAAAGCTTCCAGTCGCAGTAGCGTCTTGGTTAATATTTTTTGCACCCTTTCCAGTTTAATAGCATCCTTCTTATACCAGAGTGACTAGAACTGTATGCAGTATTCCAAATGTAGCCTCACCAATGTCTTGTACAGCTGTAACATAAAGTCCCAACTCCTGTACTCACTGCTCTGACCAATGAAACCAAACATGCCAAATGGCTTCTTCATCACCCTGTCTACCTGTGATGCCAGGGACACAATGCTTATGATCGACAAGAACACACATTTGACCACAGCTAAAGTACTACACTCAGTTCTGGTCACCACAAACCGGGATAGATGTGAGCACACCAGAAATGGTACATAGGAGATTGATGAGGATGTTTCCAGGATTGGAGAATTTTAGCTCAGAGAAAAGATTAGATGAGGTGGGTTTGTTTTCTGTGGAACAGAAGAGACTGAGATGAGATTTAATTGAAATAAGATAATGAGGAGTCCAGAGAGCGTGGATAGGAAGGAGTGATTCATTTAGAAGGAGGTCAGTAATTGAAGGTTTTAGATCTTGAGTAATTCACAGAAAGAGGGGGAGGTGAGAAATCATTTCATCCAGAGATGGTATAGAGCTCGAACTCACTGTCTGATGGAGAGGTAGAGGCAGAAACCCACGTCATATTAAAAAATAAACATGGATATGCTTGAAATGCGGAACATACAGGGTTATGGATTGATATCAGCAGAATGGGATCAGCCTGGATAGTTCTATTTCAGCGAATATAAACACGATGGGCCACGTGGCTTCAATCTATGCTGTAATTTTCTGATGTATTTATTCTGACTATTGGAGCTTGTTTCTGATGATGTTAATAACCTCATAAATTGGACTGGAGTTTAATATTCTGGAGAAATGTCAAATAAATCAGCTTTGCTTCAAACACTGTAGATTGTTGTATTTCTCCCCTGAGTGTTTAATATCACCTAGAGCTCAGAAAGGACAATCTCAGGCGAGGATCATATGGCAGCAACAGAAGTTCAGCCTGGACACATAGTTCAGGGTCACACTGAGGGAGACAAATGGCACTTTGGTCTTTCTCATCTCTCTTCACTGACAGCAAAGCCCCGGTGTGGTTTAATCCTGCGGTGTGTAAGAAATGTGTCCCAGCCACCATCTTCCATGGCTCAGAACTCCCAGACATGCAACAGAATCTCATTTAAAACAAGGTTTATAGTCAGAGGAAGAACAACTGTGAATGCTGTAAATATGCTTCAAATCAACGATTAGTGTAAAATTTGTGATTTGTTCCTGACTGCAAATGAACCTGCACATTTAATTTCCCCGTATATTGGTAAAGATTAAAGTGTTTAGCAATCCAAGCTGAGCTAGAAATTATACTTCACCAAGAGTGTGACCGGGGGAGGTTGCCAAAATTTTAACTTTTATTTTTTTAAATAATCACATACATAACACACATTGATTGTTCAGGAGGGGGTGTATTAGGGAGGGGTTAGTGGTGGTCCTGGGAAGTCTTCATTCTGAAGCAGTCTCACCTGAAACTTTCTCCATTAATTTATCAATTTCTAATGATGTGGGACCTATCCGCATGTTTGTTTTTTCTTTCAGTTTTTCAGGATTTAATTTCTTTTTCATTTTTCTTAAATCTCTATTAAATCATGTTATTGTTGTAACACTAAAATTCTGAGGGTCTTAGCTCTTTGTTAAAGCCATTCCCCATCGAGTAGAGGAGAATTCGATTGGCCTTATTTTTATCGTATCAATAACAAGGGTCTTGCAAGGTGTTTGTAAAAACAAAGTGCTAGCGAAACTCAGCAGGTCTGGTACAGTGTGGAGAAACAGTTAACGCTTCGATTCCAATGATGCTTCTTCAGAATGTGTTGCACAGAGACTTCCAGACCTGCTAAATTTCTCCAACAGTTTTAGCTGTTAATTCAGAACACAGATGTACAGTCTCTACCCAGTGTGAATGTGTGCGTGTACAATGATGTTGTGATCATTTACAGAACCATGTCCTTCAGATACACAATTTTATTATCATTTTTAACTGCCAAAGACCATTGTTCATTCCTTGCTGTGAATAGGAGAAAATATTCTTCAACTGTGGTTATTTGTGAATTCGTTGGTGTCTCAGCAGGTTGGATGATTGAGTGAATGCTTTCCCACAATCAGAGCAACTGAATGGTTTCTCTCCACTGTGAACTCGCTGGTGTGTTACCAGGTTGGATGCTTGACTGAAGCCCTTCCCACACACAGAGCAGGTGAATGGTTTCTCCCCAGTGTGAACTCGCTGGTGTCTCAGCAGGTCAGTTGTGAGAGTGAATACTGTCCCACACACGGAGCAAGTGAATGGTTTCTCCCCAGTGTGCACTCGGTGGTGTCTCCGCAGGGAGGATGACAGAGTGAATCTCTTCCCACACTGGGAGCAGCTGAACAGTTTCTCCCCAGTGTGAACTTGTTGGTGCATCCGGAGAGTGGATGACGAAGTGAATCCCTTCCCACACACAGAGCAAGTGAATGGTCTCTCTCCAGTGTGAACTCGCTGGTGTGTGAGCAGGTTGGATGACTGAGTGAATCCTTTCCCACAGATGGAGCAAGTGAATGGTCTCTCACCAGTGTGAACTCGCTGGTGTGTCAGAAGGTCAGATGACTGTTTGAATCTCTTCCCACAATCAGAGCAGGTGAATGGCTTCTCTCCAGTGTGACTGCGTTGGTGAGTTTCCAGCTGGGGTGGGTAAAAAAATCCCTTCCCGCAACCCCCGCATTCCCACAGTATCTCTCCTTTGCGACTGCACTGGTGTTTAGACATTTCAGATAAATGCTGGCAGACTCTTTCACACACAGAGTAGGTGTATTTCTCCCCAGCTTTGAACGTACTTTTTCCTTCCATGTTCAAAATTCTTTGATAATTTAATTCCAATAAACAGAATGCCAGTCAGACCTGGATGTGGTTTCGTATGACTCCGCTAATTGCAAATCAGCCTTTCAAACAGAATACAAAAAGTAGTGAGAGAAAAACCAGAAGAATACACACAGGTTGTGAAATTGAGAGAAACTAATCTGATCCTTTGCGGAACCAATATTTGGGGAGAAACATTACCATATAAACTCTAGGATTATTATTAAAACCCAACATTAAAGACAGTCAGTGTCTGCACAAAACTACAAAAGGAAAGGCACAGCTAGGAGATACAAGACTGAAGGAGGCAACTGTTCCTGTTTTCTCCCCACACGATCCCTTCAGTACTAAGAAATAAAAACAAGTGCAGAAGCAAAATGCTGGAAATCTGATACAAAAACAGAAAATGCTGGAAATACCATTTTCTTTACTCAGAGAGTGGTCGGGGCATGGAATGCATTGCCGGAGAGGGTAGTGGAGTCGGCCTCATTAGAGGCATTTGAGCAGCTATTAGATAGGCATATGGATGATAGTATAACGTAGGGGTGGAGGTTAGATAGACTTTAGGATGAGGGTAAAAGTTTGGCACAACATCGTGGGCCGAAGGGCCTGTACTGTGCTGTACTGTTCTATGTTCTACCCAGCAGGTCTGACAGCTTCTGGAAGTATGATAGCGGACAACACCATCACAACCTGATTGTCTTTACTTTGTATTTACAGTATCTAAATGTCTTATTCACATCACCCAGGTACATCGCATTGTCTTTACATCGCCATCACTATACCCTTTTATTTTACTACGTGAAACCTTCTGTCAGTTAATTCAGCACTGACAGGACAGTTAGTTAATGCTGGGTGCTTTGAAAAATGTTAGATATAGTCAGACGAGACAAAATGAGGAACCACTTGAGGAAATATGGATTCATTTAGGAAAGAATTGTGATGAACTGTCTCTCACGTTTTTGATGAGGAAAGGAGTGTTGATGATGATAATCCAATTGACTGGATGAACGTGGACTGGGAAAAGTATTTGATAAAAGCTTCATAACAGCCCAGTGAGCAAAAACTATATCTAAAGGAATTAAAAAGGACAGTAACAACATTGATCTGAAATTGGCTGAGTAACAGGGAACAGAGTCATCTTTAACAGTTGTCTTTTGAACTGGACAAAGGTTTCTAGTGGAGATAACAAGGTGCAGAGCTGGATGAACACAGCAGGCCAGGCAGCATCAGAGGAGCAGGAAAGCTGACATTTTGGGTCTGGACCTTTCAGACTGGTGCCTGGCCTGCTGTGTTCATCCAGCTCTACACCTCGTTATCTCAGATTCTCCAGCTTCGGCAGTTCCTACTGTCTCTGAAGGTTTCTGGTGGAGTTAGTTTGAAGCTTGAGGTGAGCAAGTTGAAGATAGTTAGATAAAATAAAGAAACACTGTTCTCATTAGCAGACAGTTAAAGGGTTGCAAGACACAGATTTAACATTTTCAGCAAGTGATACAGGAAGTGGGAGGATAAGTAATATGAACAGTGAACAACACTTACAATCAAAAGCCGATAATATCCACGTCCTGATTAATCAAGTGTCACTGTCAAATTATGTTGCGGTGTGTTTTTCACAAAACATCCACTTGCAATATCCTGGAAAGGAGATTACAAAAATCATCACTGTCAGCCCAGGATAGAAAAGCAGAAGAGAAGAACATTTATCATATTTTGGCTTTGCTTCACATAACCATAAAATGGTCAAGACATAGAAAGTGGCCACTTGGGCCATTGTGTCTGCACCAGCTGAGAAAATGGGTTACCCAGCCCAAGCCCATTTTGCACCAATTGGCCTGTAGCTCTGCCAATTCAGACACATTATACATGAATTGAGTTTTTCTGCTTCTCTTGTTTCTGGCAGTGAGTTCCAGACCTCACCCATCCTCTTGGGGAAAACACTTTTCCTAATCTTCCATTTAATCCTTCTACCAGTCATTTCAAATCCATGGTCTCCAGTCACTGGATTCACTGCTGAGGTAAGTGGCTCCTCCCCCCTCTATCCAGCACCCTCTACATTTTGTACATATCAATTCAATTTTCCCTTGGCCTACTCTATTCTAAGGAGAACTCACAGTTAATGTAGTCTTTCCACATAGCTGCATTTACTCTCATCCTGGTCAACAACCTTCATCTTCTCTGGTTCAATTCCATACTTTCTGTAAAATGAGGTGACCAGAAATACACACACTGCTCCATTTGTGGAATATATACCCCTCTGCCCATCATCCCACGTAAAAATGTCAGCCAAGTGCATCTCTTCCCATTGCCCTGCGGAAAGATTCAACTGTAAACCCTGGACCAAATTCCAGTGTAAAACCCCGCAGCTGCAGAATCAGTGTAACCGGGGAACTGTGAGCTTCCCATTCATGGTCTGAGACCTACTCTGGGAGTTTCAGAGTTGTAAACACAGCCCACCCCATCAAGAAAACCAGCCTTCCTTGCATTGACTCCGTCTACACTTCCCTCCAGAAAGCAACCAGCATAATCTGAGACCCCTCCCATGCTGGTTATACTGTCATCCACCTTCTTCTGTCAGGCAGAAGATACAAAAGTTTCAAACCACGTACTGACAGATTCAAGAACAGCTTCTTCCCCGCTGTGTAGAGATATATGAACGGGCTTCTCATGTATTACAGGTGATCTTTCTCTGCACGTTCTCTGTCGCTGTAACACTATGTTCTGCATTCTGCTCTATTACCCTGATGAATTCATGTAAGGTATGATTTGACTGGCTAGCACGCAAAACAATACTTTTCACTGTATCTCGGTCCAAGTGACAATAATGAATCAGATCAGATCAAACCGCCCGCTCCATTGCTCCTCACTCACTGCTGTCTCTGAGGCCAATGGGAGTGAATGATGGGGGCGGGGGGGGGGGCTGTTTCTCCAACCAATGGGAGCGAATAAGGGGCGGGGATAGTCCCCAACCAATGGGAATGAAAGAGATAACAAGGTGTCGAGCTGGATGAACACAGCAGGCCAAG